GACGCGCATGGGTGCCAAATCTGGCTAAGCCAGTGGGCCGAAGCTCCTTGCCCCGTGGTCGACTGAGCCGACGCGGGCGCCGCGGCGCCCTCTTCGCGAGGTGGACGAGCAACAGCATGAAGAGTTAGACCTGCCCAGTCAGCATTTCGACGCTGGCGCGCAGGCCGCCAGTGCTTAGCCATCGTCACGGATGGCCAGGCGTGTTCTTCGCATACCAGCAGCCTCTGCCACGCGAGCAGGCCCCTGTCTCCGCGAACACTTTGCGCGGCTTGACGTTCCCTCTTTCTTTGCTCTTTTCTCTGTTCTTGTCACGGCGCTTGCTCGACTGACTGCGGGGCGTTTCCCCAGGCGCAGCGCTGCTGACATTGGCAGCAGCGGAGCCGGCTTGCTTGGTGGTCCGTTGATTGCCGAGAGACCACCCTGCCTTGAGCTGAGCCTCTTCATACTTGTCTCGCCTCAGCTTCTCGGCATATGTCAGCACTCGGCGCTGTTTATAGAATCCACTCTGTGGGCTCTTACAGTTGCGAGGATCTCGTGAGTGGGCACAACGCGCAAGCTTGCCTTGACGTTCTCGCGACGTCTCCTCGGATTGGCGTCTCGCCCGCTGCTGTCTTGCATTGACATTGCCAAACTTGTTCGACGGAGTCGAAGAGCGAGGCCGGCCCCTTCCTTTTGGACCTCTATTTCCTAGTTTCTCGCTCCTGCCTCTCCGATCGTTATATGCGCCGGGTGGCTTGTTGTGTCCACCTGCCGCTGACTGAGCGGGGGCAGCTGGTGCCTTGGGCTTCTTGTGGTTGCATGGACAACCCTGTCCCGCCCCGGGGCAGTTCTCTCCTTGCTTGACGTGCCTGCAGGTCGTCTCGCCTTGGGTGCGTCCGCTCGCTGTCTTATCGGTCGGTAAGCCAAGCCGACGCACTGTCGCCGCCATCGCGGAAGCTCGTCTGCCGCCCCCGCTGCCCTCGTTTGTCCCGCCACTGAGGCGGGCTTGTCTATTTCTAGAGTCGAGGGCCGACTCGCGTTCGGAAATGGCCCACTTCTCGCGACCCCGCATCGTGAGCAACTCCACCTGCCACACAAACCGTAGGAACGCATCCCCGTCCCATGAGGATCTGTCGATATTTCATGCAACTGTATGACTCCTTCTAATCTCGGGACTTGCTTGACCAGTTCGTAGACATGTGTGCGAATCGAGGCCTTCATCCCGTCAGAAGGTTCACTAGGGCCGCGTGAGTCTTGGCAGCGCTCCATCCATTCGCTGTAAACGTAATGCATGTCCCGATTGGGCTTGTGGCGGTCGATAATACTCTTGAAAAGATCACGGCGCATCCAGTGCTGACCGCTTTCGGATCTGACCGAGCACCAGACACATATGGCACGGATCAGTTCACGACCCGCAAGAAGGCGCTGCTCGGTCTGACGCGAGTGCTCCACGCGGTTGACTTGCGCAAAGAAACGAGCACGTCGCACCGAGAGATTGCGACTGCGTTTCATTGTGGCAAACTACTCGAGCATATCTGTGGCTACCATCACATCGAGGCGCATGAAGATCCCTGCCGTATCGAGATTGTCCTCTGGGACTTGCGGGTTCCAGGCTTCCATGATCCACAATTGCGCTGCCTTGACGTCGTGCTAAGCCCCAGCCACCGCCCTCACGCAGCGTTGTTTCCATTTTCGTAAGGTCGGGACGCTGGGAAGGTCCACGAAGTTAATTTCCTTGCAATTTCCAAAACTTCTCCAGTTGGGGTCCATAGGGTTGGCGATGCGCGGATGCGGCGCGAGGTTCTCGGGGCACCGCCGCGCCCGCCCGGGTCTCCGCCATCGCCGGGCCCCCCCGGGGGGTCGCCCGGCGGCATGGGCCCCCCCGTCTCGAAGCGCAGTGCCGCGAGCATCCTGGTGCTGGGCGCAGTGCTCTGGCCATCCCCCTGGTCACCGTTGTCGCCTCCATGTCCGACCCCGCGCCTCCGCCAATTACGGCTGAGCCGCTGGCGAAGGGGGGTGACCGGACTGGTCGCAGTTGCCAGGAGGCCCTGACAACTTGGCGTTGAATGGGACGTTGCCAGGGCTCGATCCTTGTTTCGCCGCGAATGAACCTTCATTCGGCTCGAAGGTTTCCTCTACAGCTGGCCTGGGGATCAATCGCGAGTGCGAAAAGGGGGGCCTAGGTTTGCGCGGCGCCGTACACGGAGGCACCCGGTCGAGGTCCGATTCACCTGATTGAAAAGACGGTGCACCCATGACCGCTGTCAAGATGCTGACCTGGCATTCCATGCCGACTTATTTTTGTAATGTGCGCTTTTGATTTCTTCAACATCTCTTGATCTGCTTTAGCGGCAGCTATGGCTTGTTTGATGGCGCCCAACTCTGCTCTGTGATCTCCCAGCTCTTGCATCTGCAGCTGGCGTCTTCGAATGAACACTCCGATATTGCTGAGCGTTTCCGCGCCATCCCATCTGCCTGTTCTGTCATTGTCCTAGCTTCGGTTTTTCTGCGGTTGATGTCCGCGAGTATGTTTAATCTCCCCCCTTCGTCAAGATGTCCTCTGCGTGTAGGCATTCCAAACCCCGCGCGCATCCCGAGCGCAGGCTTGGAGCATGCATGACAAGGCTCACATGGCGCGCCCGCCCGAGGTCGGGTCAGCGCAGCCGCTCTCGCTCGGGCGGGGCGAGCAACAATTGGGCTAGGGGGAAGCTCGACGTATGTCGGCTGGGCCGGCGTTGAGTTCGCTCTCTCCTGCGACCCGACACCTCCTGGCCGGGCCGGAGGTCTCGATCTCGCCGTCTGAGCAACCGCGCGAGGCTGCCTTGCCATCTGAATCTGTCCTAGAGACCCCCTCGCCGTCTTAGGTTGCTCCAACTCAGATTCGAGCGTGCTGTTTTCTTCGCTTACGGCACGGATGCTGAGCGCGTCGTTCTTGATCTGCGCATCTGCACGCCCCATTCGCGTGATCCCAGGCCTCTGCCATTCGTCTTTGGACATCCAGCCTCATGGCCTGGGCCTTCTGATCCTGCTCATGGGGTGCACGCGCCGCTTCTAGCTTTATCGTTTCGGCCTCGAGCCTAGCAACATCACGTTGATCGCGGACTCCTGGTTTTCTTGTGCTGCCTGTTCTCTTGCCAGTATCTCTCTCCTTCCCGTCTGGCTTCGTCAGCTAAGATATGGAATTAAACGCGCACTTTGTTGGCCTGTAGTTGCGGCGGTGAGATCATGTACTCGACCGCTCCATAAATCCTTCGCTAGTATTCCTCATCTTGTGCGAGACGCCGCTGAGCCACGCTCGAAATCCCTGCCATTTCTGCTCTCGCTTGCAGTATGCGCTTCTGGGCATCCTCCGCGATGGCAGCCTTTCTTCTTCGACGCGGCACACCGTCGCCCTCTTCTCTGATTCAGCGAGCTGGCGGTCGGCTTCTTCAATGGCCGCTTTGCCCACATGTGCCTGAAAGGAGGATCTGTTGCATTTGTGCATTTGCTGCCCTTAGCTGCTCTCTGTCTTGCCTCTGTTTCCCTTCCCACTCTCTGATGGCAATGCGACGACAGTTGTGTCTCCCACCGAAATACACTCCTCGCAGAACCACGATAAACTACACTTCGGACACACTTGAGAGCATTGGGCACATACGGGTCGGCCAAAAGGCCCCCCCCCCCCCCCCCCCCCCCCCCCCGGTTAGCGCGCTGTTCCCGGGTGGCGATTCTCCGCCTGAGGCGGGCGCCCCGCGCCCGCGTTCCAGCATGTCCCAGAAACAGAAGCTGCTCGTAGTCCGATTTGACGACGGACGAGGAGACTCAAGGGCGTCGAGCTTCTGGGGCTAGAACGCCCCCCCCGCTCTCGGGGCCTCTTTCCAACCCCTGCTCGCCTTCGGCGTGTTCTGCCCCCTCATTCTCGACCCCGCATTCCATTGAGTGCCTTGTGGCTTCTTCTGTAGCTCGCCCGTTTCATCTTGAATGATAAACTCATCAAGTTCTGGCACACTCTCGTGGTCCATCCTCGGCGGCACGAAGTTTTGTCGATAAACTAGTTTCGACAATGGTGGAGGGTTGAGGTGATCTGTTTCGCTCTTGGTTTTCTTTGTCTTTGGCAGCGGGGTCGCACCAGTCAGTGCCCTTGCATGCCGTGCCGGGCGCGTGACGCCAGGTGAGTGCCCCGTCGGCTGAGCCGAGGGGCTCCCTCTTCCACAGCCTAACTCCCCGTTTCCGGGGACCGCTCGTCCTCAAGATCTTCATCCGAATCACGGACCGCCCGACGTGTCCTCATCCTAGCACGTATGACCTGATACTTTCAGGCTTGAGTTTACTGATGCGATCTCTGGTGGCCTTCCGTTGGTAGCACTGGCTGAGCCACGCCCTCTGCCTGGCGTTTGAACTCTTTCTTTTATCTAATGATCTACAGGGGAAGTCCACTCTGTTAAATCAAACACAAACTCCTATGGTTGCCTCCCAGGAGGAAGGAGAGAAAGAGGCCGACCCCTTGGGGCGCCTTCTTGAGTACTGCGCTCGGGACAACTGTGTCGTTCTATTTTTTCTGGGCGTTCCTCCCTTCGATCCCATGTCCACCGGAACCAAAGGCTGAGCAGTCGGTCCGGCTGATAACCAGTTTGTTGCCTGCATGTTGACTGTCCCTGCCGTATGATCCGATGTAGTCTCGATTATCCCTGAAGGTAACTTCTCCGCCGAAGCCATGGCAAGGAAGGAATGCTCCGTTCAGCGCATCAGAGAGATATGTGTGGTAGGGAGAGGGCCGGCCAGCCGACGACACGACAACGATGAGGGGACGGCCCCCTTGCGCGCGCAAGCTAGCTCGCTCCATTATCCTATACCTCCCGAGTCTGAGTGGCTGCAGACGATCAGCCAGTACAACAGCAATGATGGCAAGGGCAACAGCATGGTGGTGCGGAGAGGAGCGTATTGACTGGCTGTCGCGCGGACCACGCAAGGTTCTTAAAACATCCGTTGGTGGGCCTATAGGCATGCCCAAACGCTTCGCAACTGCTTGAACCGTGGGTCGGATGACCTCGCCTCTTGCTTCGCCTCCTGCATCCCGGCTGGCCGAACCGGCCGGCCCCCCTCGGGACCAGAAGTACTGCTCGCGAAAAACTCTCGCGCGCTGCACCTGGTATGATCGACGAGATGACTTCGGCCTCCAGCTTCGCCTCCCGCATCTCGCCGAGCAGCGCCAGAGCCCGCTGCCACTGCTTGCCTTTCTCGCACGCGCTGACCCCGGCGCTGCAGCTGACGACTCCTCCCGTGTGCCACCGTGGACTTGAGAGAACCTGATGGGCCAGCAGCCGAGCAGGCTTGCACACCACGTTGATTGACATCAGGCGGCCTCGTACACTAGGGGACTCTGCACGTCATCGTGATGGGAAACTTTTCCACCACCACTGCCACATGTAGGACGGGGGAGAAGGGAGGATGAGGAGGTCCTCCTCCTCCTCCTCCTCCTCCTCCTCCTCCTTCTCCTACTTACGGTTGTAGTGGTGGAAAATGGGCCCATCACATCGTGCTGGTCTCATAGACTCGGATACGCTGGTACAGACATCCGACTGCAGAGACGACTGACAGATCGGGATATCTTGGAGCCCTCGCGGCCACTCGTGGTGGCGATACACCTGGGCGTCAGTGCGGGCCTCTGGAGTGGCGAATTGGAAACCTCGGGGGAAGTATGGGGAGCTCTTGGGGCCATGCTATGGTTCTGGGGAGCTCTCTCGGGGCCGGGCCCTCTGAGAGCGTCTGAGGGGCCACCTTGGCGCTGTCGGAAGCCTCTAGAGCAGATCTTGACAAGATCCCCTGGCACAGGATGCGGAACGCCGTACATTTAAGTCGGGCGTGTCCTGCTTCAGGCGGATTTTGTACGAAACATACAAAATAATCAAAACGTACCCCAACATAAACAAAAAACACTATGAACACAAACGCCCCCTAGAGCATTTTTTGATTATTTTTGAATATTCCTCCTGTAGAGGGGCATGCCCGACTTCATCGTACATTCCCGGGAAAGGCAGAGGTCGTCCAATCGTTTGGCTGCGCGGAGGCTCCCTGCGGCGCCTCTCGAGGCCGTGTGGGGGGGTGCCCTGCAGGCGCCCTGGCGCCACCTCGGAGCCGCTCGGGGGTCTGCGAAGGCCGGCTCGGGTTCTATATTGGGGCCCTCGCGGGCCCTCTCGGGGCTTCTGGGTGGTTCCTCGCATCGGGGGGGACGAAAGGGGGGGGGATAGCAAAGAGCAGGGTAGAGAATCAGCTCACGTAGCTGACTTTCCCAGCGTCTCCCGGCGCCGGGAGGCGCCCATGTATCGAGAAATGGGCCCGGCGGCGGGGCCGAAACCAGCTGCATGCAGCAGACTTCGTAACCCCCCTTTCCCTATCCCCCCCTTTAGTTCGGCCCGAGGCGTCTGGGTGGTTACTCGAACGCGTATATAGGGATCGCCACTTTTGAGGGTGCGGGGACAGTCTGGGGACCTAGTGGGCCCGTGTTGGGGCCGCCCTGGGCTGTCATGGAGCCACCTCGGGGCTGGCTTGGAGGCTGGGCAAAGCAATCATGAGCTGTCTTTGGAGCGTCGGGGGCACTCGTGGAGAGTCTGTGGAGCAGGTCTGCGGACGTTCTTGTGAGGAAAGATGGAGAATGCGAGAAACTGTAAAAACATTGAGGACTTTCCCGATGTGGTGGAAAGTGCCCGCGGCTCCTCCTGGGAGCCTTGGTGGAGCTCTCGCTGAAGGCCGTCTAGAGACCCCTCGGAGTCTCGAGTCGTCTTGGGAGTCTGCTGGGCCATCTTGGAGCCCCAACGCGGAGCACTTGACTGTCTGAGGGCACTCCGTTGGGCCTCTTCTGGTTCTGTCTGGGGCCCTCGGGGCGTTAAGAAAGCCGTCTGTGGGCCGGCTGGGCCGAACCGGCCGACCCCCTCGGGGCCAGAGGTACTGGTCACGGAACTCTCGCGCGCTACACCTGGTAGTATAGACGAGATGACGTCGGATTCCAACTTCACCTCCCGCATCTCCCTGAGCAGCGCCAGAGCCCGCTGCCACAGCTCGCCTTTCTCGCAAGCGCTGATCCCAGCGCTATAGCAGATGACGTCGATCTCCAAACTCGAATCCGACATCTCGCCGAGCAAAGCTAAAGCCCGTTGCCACTGCTCACCCTTGCCGCACGCGCTAATCCCAGCGCTATAGCTCATAACGTTGAGCTCCAACCGCGCCTCCAACATCTCGCTAAGCAGCAGCAAAGCATGCTGCCACTGCCTACCTTTGCTGCATGCGCCGACAGCAGCTGTGTAAGCGCCTGTCGGTCCATTGCGTAGTCTATACGATTCGCGGAATAACTGCAGCGCAAATCTCCACTGCTTTGCCCTCCCGAAATTCTTTATTGTAACTTCGGGATTATAAACACTTTGCTGCCGTAATCGGTGCTGGATGTCTTGCATAGTTGAATCGGGACAGGTGCAGGGTCTAATTCGTGTCTGGTGGGATCCATAATCAGGGCGTGCTAGAAATGAGCACACAACCGCCGCACCTGACCCCGTACTACTCGAACCAAAAACTGAAAGAGGAAGGAGAAGAGGAGGGCGGACGGACAAAAGGGGGGGCGAGAACGAGGATGGGGCCAGCAGGAGGGAGGACAGGAAAGGAGGGGCGAGGGGGGGAGAAGGACAGGCTGAGGAGGAAGGAGGAGAGAGGTTATTCTCCTTTCCTAGAAGAAGAACAAACGCTATAAACGTAAGCTGTTGGCGCTCCGCGCGGATTTCGTGGATCTGCGCCGGACCCCCCCGCCCTGGCGCGCGAAGCGCGCCAGGGGCGGCGCCGGAGGCGCCGCCGGGGGACCCCAGCGCGGATCCAAGAAATCCGCGTTGAGCGCCAAAAGTTTATAGCATTGGTTATTCTTCGATTTACTTGAGCACTGTCCTCCCCTCCGTATTTTTTGGATGTTCGTATTCCACTCCACGTCCCATCTTTTCCCATATTTTCTGGGGAATCAACGATTAATTGTGTCTGTATGCATTTTCCCTCCTGAGCACTGTCCTCCTCTCCATGAGCATTGTCCTCCGACCCATGAGCACTGTCTTCCTCTCTCCATTAGCACTGTACTCCTCTCCATGAACACTGTCCTCCTCTCCGTCCTCCTCCTCTCCATGAGCACTGTCCTCCTCTCCTGGAGCACTGTCCTCATGTCCTCCTCTCCATGAGCACTGTCCTCCTCTCCATGAGCAATGTCCATGAGGAGGAGAAGAGGTGATCCTCCTCTCCATGAGCCCTGTCCTCCTCTCCGTTCTTCTGTTCTCGCACAGTCGCGCGCTGCAGCGGACAGGTGCGCTCGTGCTGCTCCGGGGGCACAAAATAAAGGCTATGCCCAACTACCAGCACCCGCACAGACCTGGCTTCGCCAGTGAGCGGGAGAAACAGAAACGCTGCCCATTCGACCGTGGGCTTAGGTCGGGCATGTCCCCTACAGGCGGATTTGGGGGAAAAAACATACTGAACAAATGCCCGAACATAGCGAACAAATAATAGAAACATCGTCCCCTGACTATTTTCTTAACTATTTTGAATATTCCTCCTGTAGAGGGACAGGCTCGACTTAACCGTGGACCCCTTGCTGCCGAGCTCGCGCAACTTCGCGCTACGCACCATGCGGAGCGCGAATTCTCTGGGCCCTCGCGCGGATTCCTGGAAAAGAACCCACTCCGCGCCCTTGCAGGCGATCTGGGTGATGATATTCTGCGGTCCTCGGCGGTCTCTGGCGGCCTGTGGCGATCCTCTGAGCCCAAGCTGGCCGATGAGCTCAGCAAGGGGTCCGGGAGCGAACGCATCGAGAAATCTAGTGTCTGCCCTGGCAAGGCCTCGGGTTGCTTACAGACAGCCCCCAGAGGAAGTCGAAACTGGTCTCAGCAGGCCCCCAGGGTAGTCTGGGGCGGTCGCAAGACTCCCGCGCCGCATCTGGCGCCCCCATGGGGTGTTGAGACCACTAGGCGCCATGCTGAGACCGACTGCCTCTTGAAATCGTCCACGCGCAACCCCGAGCCGTGCCAGTCTGCACGCTGCCGGACAGGTCGGGCGATGTTCGCGACAACTGTCCAGCCAGACGGCCCGCAGGGCTTCAACTGCCACGTCTCGCTCCCGCCCGCTCCATCGGAGCAGGAGGGGGACGAGGAGGAGGACGACGACGACGAGAGGGACGGGGGCGGAGGAGAGGGAGGGCCCAGACCCGCGACGTGACTCTTCGCGACGAGTGCCCTGGAACGACGACGACGACGACGACGAGAGGAATGGGCCCCGAGGATTGTCCTGGCCAGGGTCGGTGTGGGCGGACAGCTCGAATGCCTACCCATTTGTTTACTCATGAGCAAGCCATGGCGCACAGAAGGCCCATCAGGGCATAAGCACCGCCGCTCGAAATTCTGGTCGAGCTCGAGCTGCTGAAATGGCCCCGACCTCTGAAAACCGCCGGAACTGGCCCAAAAATTCCGAGACCCCCCAGGCCGTGTTCCTTTTCACGACGTGACCCCCAGAACTCCCGAACCCACCGCCGGGACCAGGCGTCTCGCCGCGGGCCGCCTCGCTGGTGCCTCCGGGGGGTGCAAGCGACGAAAAGAAACGGGACTTGCACTAAAATACAGCGATCTGACGCCGCGGGAGGCACACCACGTGGAGAAGAACTTACGCGCGAATGTCAAACAATCGACCCCATTTTCGTCCGTCCACCACCTGGAAAGACCGGCTGCCGTGACAGGTAGAGGTGTGAGCCCTGGGCCTCACAAGCCTGCCCCCGTCTATCCTGGATGCGCGCTCAGGCCCCAGCTCCGGGGACAGCCTGGCCGCGGCGACGAAGACCACCGAATGCCTCCGAAAGGCCCCAGACCCCCCCCACGAAACCCGACGAAAATCTCTGCGCGGGCTCTTAAGCTCGGGCGGGGGTGCACGGCTTCCCCCGGGGCCGTAGGCGGCCCGAGGAGGAGGAGGAGGAGGAGGAGGATAAGGAGGAGGAGGAGGAGGAGGAGGAGGAGGAGGAGGAGAAGGAGGAGGAGGAGGAGGAGGAGGAGGGGTCGCCTAAGCACTTCGGAAACCCTCCAGGCGTGGGCTCCTCCCCCTCCTCCTCCACCTCCTCGTTCGTTCGAGGCAGCTTACGGCGAGCACTTCGGGTTTCATGCACATGCGAGTGTGAATTTACATGCACGTTCCATCATAGCAGACGGGCCTTGTGCAATACCTCCTTAAGAGGGGCACTGGCTGCTCAACCCGATTCCTTGGAGAGACGGGTGGAGAGGAGGGACTTGTGGTCAAGACCGGCTTCGAACGCCTCCTTCATCAGCGGGCCAGCCAGGCGCGTGGCCCGGGTGTCGGCATGGTGCCGCCTCCGCCCGATTCGGCCGAGCGCTCTTGTTTCTTCAGCGCCTCGTTCGTCGAGGACGGCCACGCTGTCTTCGGGGAGTTGTCGGAAACGCTCCAGGACAACTCGCCGACACCTCTGTGATTTCTCCTCCAAGTGCACAATCACACGCGTGCGCGTTCCGAACCACTGCATGCACACAGGGCAATGGTCGGTGTCAGTGAAAGCACGAATTTTCCTGCACACTCCATGCACAGTGAAAGCATGGGTGGCCAATTGTTGTCGCGTGCTGCACGTGTACACGCAGCTCGGGCATTTATAGTCGGCGTCCACTTCGGCCACCCGGCGGGTCCGCGCCCATGCCTGCACAGAATTGACCCTTCTCTCCCCTTTCGCTTTCTGAGGGCCGTGCGGAATCGTTTGGGGTTGTCGCGGGCGAGAGAAACCCACTCAGCAACCGCTTTCCGCCCCAGCTCAGAGAAAGCACCAACGCGTTCAGACAACATGTCAAGGTCTTCGGCCACAGCTGTCATCCATGAGCGACGCACGCCTACTGCGCGGGAAAGGACAACGCAAAGCGTTAGAGGGCCATTCAAACACACTCTGCTGAACAAACACAGCCTCATGTACAATATCATTATGGCCGGAGCTATGAAATCATCATGTGACGATACAACAGCGTGGGAGGGGGCACGGGCCCCGTCCTGACTGGAGTGGAAAACGCTGGAATATATTTTCATTACAGCAGTGTGTACGCGAGTAAATTCACTGGCGTATAGCTGTGGCCAGGTTCCAGCCTGATGTAAGCCCCGTGTAAACAGGATGCCCTGGCACAGCGCCATCCGCGTCTCAATTGGCACAGACTCCCGGTGCAAGATGCTGTGGCGAACCTGCTTGAAGGTCGAAAACATGGCCCCGATCTTAGCGGTGATTTCCGGCTGCATGGTGTCCGTAGAACAAGTCAAAGTCCCCACATGTTCGTATTGGGATGTCGCCACGAGCCGGCGGTCCGCCCCAAGCGAAGAGAAAACAATGATGCCATCACTGTCTCGGAACAGGCGGCTTCGCGCCTCGACAGATCCTGGGCCAGCAAAGCGAAACAACGCCTCAGTCTTACCTTTCTCAAAATTGATTGTGAGGCCAAAGCGCGTAAATACATCATTGAATATGCAAGCGCACATTCTCATCTTCTCAACGATGTCGCACGCATGCGCAATCAAAGGCTGAACAACGTCGTCAACGCACCCAGCGGGCCCAAGGTTCACGGATGGGGGGAGGGAGGAGGGACGAGGAGGGGGAGGAAAAGGGGGGCAGGGAGGAGGGGCGGAAGGGGAAGCGAGGGGAGGAGAGCAGGAGGAAGACGGGAAGCGAGAGGGAGGGGTGGGAGTGGGCCCATCAGTGTTACCACAGCCGAAACCCGGCAGAAGGGCATCAACTGGGAGCACGTGGAGCAATCCTGCGGCGGCAAGGCGCTCTTCAACAGCATTGAGAACGCGACTGAAAGCGAGAAGGAATACAAAGTCCCCCATCGAGTTGCCAGCCAAAGAGCCGGACGTTGTCTCGATGCACCCGGCGACGCCCTCCACCGCGAACCACGACTGCCTGTGCTATTTACTTAACATGGCGAGATAATGCTGGGACCCCCCGCTGTCGAGCCAATACTCATATGCCACGATGCCCTCAGCAACCTCGCCCGCCTCATGTTGCGTGAAGCCAGACTCGAGCAGTCGGGCGACGAACGCGC